GTCTGTGTAACATTTTACTTAAGGACAGACATTTAAAAGTACGGTTGCAAAATCCAATTTGATACTAAAACGAGTAAGCCGAATACGCAGTTTTCGGAAACTCAAGTGTGGGAAGAAGGGGAGGGGCGGAATGGGCCGAGCGCCCAGGCTGCACCGGGCGGAGAGACCCCAGCGGCGGGGCGTGGACAGCGCCGCCGAGGTTACGCTCGAGGGCCGCGGGAGGAAACGCCGAGCCAGGAGCTGAAACCCCGGGCTTCGGGGCCAGAGCCGGGCCGAAGCTACAGGGGTGCCGACGCTAGCGAGGAGGCATCTCGCACCCGCACCCCGCCGTCCCCGGGCTGGCGAGGAAGAGGGCTGTGGGGGGAAGCGGGAAGGGAAGCAGGAAGAAGTCCAACAGGGACAGGGTCTCAATGCAACAAGTGCCCGCGGCAGCTCCCCAACAGACTGCAGGCCTGCAGCAGGTTCGCTAGGCCCGGCGCGGCGGCCCCCTGGCCTTCCCTCTCTCGGCCACTGCCCCACCGCACTTACTCTGCCACACGACGCTCTTCAGCCCCCGTTCCATCCCTGTCGGCGCCATCTTCCGAACACTGCAGAGGACCAGCCACTGCCCACAACACGCAACCTACTTCGGCCGTGAGGGAGCAGCTCCGGCGAACCCGCCCCCTCCCACGGGTCGCGCCCTCCGGAGACGTCACACGCGTCTGCAAGGGATTCCGGCCCACCCCCGGACGGAGGCTGCGCAGTGCAGGTGGACTCTCAGTGGGCAGCCGCGCGCCCCCTGGTGGGAGGCTGCGTCCACTGAAGTTCGATGTCCCGTGACGTCAAAAGCCGAAACCTTGCATTGCGCTGTGAGTTAACAGGGTGTAAGAAATTCCTAGTTCGCGCATATAGTACTTGAAGAAGGGAGGGATCCTGCGCTTAACAAAAGAATCCATAACAAAAGCAATTCGTCATAGACCTCAATAGGCCGCTCAACTACCGAATGGAAAATTTACCCCGCCCCACAAAAGCCTATTTTATCCATTTTTCAAGGACATTGCATAGAGCTATGAGGTACCCACCAGTGTATCCAGAACTGAGCAGGTCTTTCAGAAAACTCGAAGAAACGAGAGACCCTTCTGAAGAACTTAAAGTCTAATTAGACAGCTCAATTCCGGGCCTGCTGAAGGTAGTCAAAAGTTGGTCGAAAAGGGAATGCTTTAATGATGATAATATATGTAAATGAACCAATAAAATAAAATTATTCAACAAATTCATGTGCAAAATTGTATGGAAGGGGCTGTCAATGCTTAAGGATTTAAAAGAAGGAATTATTGTTGAAAGCAGATTTGCAAAGGAGGTAATTTGATGTCAGACTTAGAAAGTTTAGGCAGAGATCTATTTCCTGAGATGGTTCTTTTGAGACATAAAAACAAAGTAATCAGTCATGAATTAAAGCAGTTTAGTTGCTAAGAGCCCCAAGTGACACAATCATCGTCTACACTAACAAAGTAGATTTCCCTCTGAGAGTTGCAGATAACCTAGAGTCTTAATACGAGTTGGTCAAATAGGGAAGTTTAAATGGTTAGTTAGTACTAGTAATAATAATAATGGCTAATATTTACTGAGTGCTTACCATCCGCCAGGGTCTAAGTAGATTATCTCACTGATCCTCTGAGCAGCCCTATCAGACAAAGAGACTGAAGCTTAGGGAAGTTAAGTAACTTGCCAGGGATGCACAGCTAGTAGTAGAGTGGAAACCAGGATGAGGCTTGGGTTACTCAGAAGGCGATATAGAGCAGTCTTGCAATTTTTGCTCTTTAGAAGAGAAAAGAAGAATGAAGAATAAAAACAGCCATACAATGGATTCAAGAGCAACCTATGGCATGAATGGTTTTTCCTTCAAGTCTTATATGGAAATGAAACCTGGAGTTCTGGCTTCTTTTAAATCCACCTTAAATATACTCAGCTGCTCAGAATTTTAAATGAACACATTATTTCCCTTTCCCTTTTTGATTTTAAATCAGATTCTGCAAAGGATGGCAGGATGGAGTGCTGGCCAAAGGTAAAAGCTATGACAGTGCAGACTCACCCTTCTAAAATGGAACTCTTTGCCCTAGAGGGTCACAAGACAGAGGAGTCTGGTGGGTGAAGTACCTCCATCTCCTATTCTTCAGGAGAATGACCAGGTGCCAGGGAATGACACAGAAAGGGCCTTCTGGGTTGGAAGTTTGACTTGGGTCACTTGAGCTATAGCTGGTGCTCATATCCTTGAAGGCCATACTCCAAGGTGGCAGTGTGCAATAGTGGAACAAATGTGGGCTTTAGCCCCACAGAGGGACAGGTCCACATCCTACAAATCCTGGCTCTGCCTCTTACTAGCAGTATGACTTCAAACATCCCAATTTCACTGCATTTATGTGTTGACTATGAGTATAATATCTCAAACCTCACAACTCAGCAAGATGATAATCCTTATTGCCATTTTACAAATGTGAAAACTGACATTTAGAGAAGTTAAATAAATCACTTAAGATCTCAAGATGGCTCCAAGACCATTACCCTTTCCATGGTACCATACTGCCTACCTTCCCTTCCGCCTCTAGTTTTGCATAATCTCCCTGAGCTGTCTCTCTAGTGTCCTGTAGTTTGTTTGCCTAAACAAATCAAACAAAACAAATCAAACAAGGAATTTGAATTTCCTGAACATGACACAGCAGAATGGAATGTAAAATCCACCTGCACTGGTCAGAGATGAAAAATCTGCTTTGCATAATTCAAAGAGCAGACAGCCAAAATAACTGAGGGCTGAATGTAAAAATGCTCTTGAGTTAGGGCAGATCACGCACTCACCATCCTATTTCCAGGTCTTCTTCACTAATAACTGGTGATTTACTTAATCATGATAATCCAGAGAAATATTTTCTATAAAGATATCATGGATTAGCAGGTCTAACCAATGCTACATATTTATTTGGCCCCCTGAGAATTTGTGTTTCAACTGGTTAGCTGTGTGAACATAGGTGAGTTATTTGACTTTTCTGGGTCTCATTTATTATTGTATAAAGAAATAATATCATTATCTAGCTCATAGGGTTGATATGAGAATGACATAAATATGTGGAAAGCACTTAAAAAGTGCATAGTAGGTGCTACATCCATTTTTTGGTTTGATGTTCACCCAGTGTGGACCACATTGTCTTCTGTGGAATTTTGACCAAAGCAGCCCAGCCTTAAATGCCCAGATAAGCACATGGCCATTTCATTTTCTATGTTCTGGTGTTCATAGGGTATGAGTATACTGGTTCCAGCCCCTAGTACCCTAGGACCAGGAATCCTGGCCTTCCATTTGGACTTTGCCCTTGGCTCTTTGGCCAGTCTAATCAGCCCTGGACACAACTCTGTTCAGAGGGCACACCCTGCTGGCAGCTAGACCCAGTGTACAGTCTCACATGGGCTGGGCACCCCAGCCTAGAACACTACCCCAGTTCATGGTTGCTCTCACAGGGCATGGACCCACTCTGAACCCTCTTCGTATCAGTCTTGCCTCACATGCCACAGCCCTCTATCTTCTGTTAAATTTATTAAATAAGGGGGTGGTTAAACTGAGGTGGTTCTGATGCCTTAGCAGCCTATGTAAGCAAACCAGAACCTAAGCCTGTAAGTGCCTCAAGCTTAAAAATTCAAAATCTAAGGACAGCTAATCACAAATAGCCAAGTAGGCTTTCCCCAGTAAGACAACCACTTAAGCTATAGTCAGTCAAATAATATCCTTGCTTTGCTTCTGCCTCCTCTATATGAAAGTCTTTCCCTCAGCTCCAGTCAGTAGAGAACTCCTTGCCACTTCTGGTTTGATGCTGCTGAATACAATTTCTGTTCACATAAACTCCTAAAATGTCTAATATGCCTCCATTTATCTTTTAAGACTTCTCAGCTCCCATCACTGAAATTTTGCTTCCAGAAAGAGCTCACGAGGGCAAGCCTTTTCAAGTTTCCAAACCTGACCACATGTCAGAATCACTTTGTGAGTTTGTTAAAAAAAATACAGATTCCCAGGCCTGGTTCCAGATCTACTGAGTTACAATCTCCAGGGGTGGTACCTGGGAATCTATATTAAGTAGTGAGTTCCCCAAGTGATGTGGGTGCACCTAGCCCAACTCCTATTCATTCACTGGTATTTAGGAACAAAAGTGAACTAAACTCAGCCTTCCTGTGTGTGTGCTCTCTGATGCAGCAAATTCCATTTTTTGGATATCTCTGGCTTTGGTCTGTCTCTTCAAGTGCAGATGTTTTGGGGAGCATCTCTTATTAGTGACAATTATATATCTCTCACCAGTCTTACATAGAAAGAGAAAGGAGACATCGAAAAGGAAGTTTGCCCTCCCTGCCAGTTTACCTCAAGCCTAACTCCATGCTCCAGTTCCCTCTAGGCTGAGTTTTATGGCTGTTTCTAACTACAGATGTTCTTGGCTCCACAGCTATGCTTTGGGGGAAAAATACTTTAGTTGTGTGTGTGTTTCAAAAATCCTACTTGCACTGTTTTTTAAATAAGTTTACTGGTATTTGAAGGACAAACATTTTTCTAGGTGTAACAGATTTATTTGATATATCATTGCCTTTCCTTTCCAAAGATGAAAAAAGCAGTTGCAGTGTGAGTGAGAGGTATAGCCAACAAGATTGATGGTTCCCTCCCAAAAGATGCACATATGTCCCTCTGCAACAGCTCAAGACTCTCTCCCTGGCTGTCCCTCCAGCCAAAGTCTTTGCTCACTCAAAAGCATGCCTGCAATCCTTCTAGCAACCAGCCTGCAGCCCCACTTTCCCAGATGCTCATGTGAAGGTCACATCACATGATGCTTTGCCTTAGCAAACCCTGCAAGCAGCTTGGTTTCCTCCTAATTTGAGATGCAGTGTTTGTTACTCCAGGCTGTCCTGGCAGCTGCTGCTATCCAATCTACGCTGAAGTCCTAGTGGAGATTCGTCTTGGGATGAGCAGTGTCTCTTTGCTCTGGCTTCTTTCGACTTCTCTGTGAGCATACATTCCAGCCCTTGAATGGCTAGAGGGCTGCCTGGCAGGTTGATCAAACAGTTATGAAGTGGATGTGTTGAAATCTGTGGTGTGTCTGGATATGAAATCTCAGAAGGAACTTCTGCTAAGCAGATCTTAGGATTTCCCAGTATGTGGGCTCACTCTTGCAGCTGTCCAGAGAACTTTCCGGATCCATTTCTCCACCAAGTCCTCTCCAAAGCAAATCTTGAACTTCTGTGCAGGTGAGGACATACTTGCCTTTGCCCTCAGGAAATGGAGTCAGAGATGCCCTTCTAAAGGCCAAAGGAGTTTGTCCTATCCTAGAAATATTTTTTATTTTAATACATCTTTTCCATCTCTAATCACACTAACAATTGAGACAACTCTGCAAAAGATATGGAGAGAATTTTTTAAAAACAGAGCCAAAAATCTTTGCCTTTGAATCATATAACTTCAATTTAAATTACTCACTAGGTCAAGTCTCTGTTTTTCCCCCATGACTCACAGTATCATTCTGCATTTCTCTTCCCTCTGTAAATCACTGAAAAGGGCAGGATGAGAGAGAAGGCACAAAATAAAATAAATATGCAGAAATATTATTAAATAAAAAGTCCCTCAAGTGTCTCTGAGATCTAGATTAGTATTTTGATTTGAAAATATTTCTGTAGCACTTCTCAGCAAGTAAGCAGTAAATTAAGACAATCTGAATTGTTCAAAGGGCAAGAAGAAACTGACCACTGGTTTCTAACTCTCAGAGTGATCTCTCTCCTGCTTCATGAGATGAATCCTCCCAGAGTCTCTTTAAGCTCAGACTACTGACTCAAGACCAAAACCTTTCCTCTCTACCCTCAGGCCAACTTGCTGTGTTCTCAGAGACCTCCCAAATTTTATTGATTCATAGTTGTGTAGGGAGGATTTAAGCCTGTTCGACAGCTGAGGGACTTGCAGAGAGGAAACTTCCATGGAATGTACAGAAGACACTGAAGCAGGCTGCATGCTGAAGACAGTATCTGCCCCCATGGAGTAATGTCAGTCACAACCCCTCCAGTCTACCTTCTGTTAGCGACCCCTCACTTCAAGTAGATTGTTTTTTCTCCCTTCCAACCTGTATCAAATTTCCAGCATCAAAGAAGCTTCACTGAATCAGAGCCGTAGTTCTCAAACTAGCGTGCATCAGAATCATCTGGAGGGCGTGTTAAAACAAGGATTGCTGGGTACGGACCCCAGAATTTCTGATTCATCAGGACTATGTTGGAACCCCAGAAATTACATTTCTAAAGAAGTTCCAGATATTGCTCATGCTGTTAGCCTTGGTATCACCCTTTGAAAACAAATGAGTTAGGGTATTATGAAGACTGAGGTTAATGTACAAATATCTTAGTTAGAAGTAGCACATTAGGATGTTAATACCTAACACATAATAGAATTGAGTGTGATATGAGCTTAAAGTGATCCTGAACTAATAATAACTACCCCTTATTAAATGCTTATTATGGTCCTGTCATTGTGTCCAATAATTTACATCTCCTTTAATCCTCATAATGTCTTATGAGGTGATGATTCCAATTTACAGATGAGGAAACCCATGCTTAAAGCGAATTGAAACAACTCACCTAAGGGTAAGTGATAGTGACAGGATTTGAACTCAGATATGTCTCTTAAAAAAACCCATTCGTGCTGTTGCAAAGCTTTAGGAAAACCTAAGAGTCAAAGAAGACCAAAACTCTCAGGTCAACAAGATTCTTAAGGGTTCTCTTAATGTATCTGGAAGCCCCACATCAGCAAAGGATCTAATTTGACTCGTACAGGAGAAAAAATGCCAAAACTAGAGACAGCGATTTAGAATTTTTCCCTAGATACAATGAATTGTTTGGTGTAGATGCCCTCAAATGATCTGGTTTACTCTTGTATTTGAGAGTCTTGCAGGATTTCTACAAAGATATGCTTAAAGAGAGGCCAAATTTCAGACTCAAGACTGAACCTTGCTAAGGGAGAAGCCAAGGTCAAGGGTATCCCAAGAGGGACAGAAGGAGGGGAAAGTAGTGACTTCGTTCAGTGCTTCTCAAAATTCAAGAGTGTTAGAATCACCTGGGAACCTGATACAAGTGCAGAGGCCCAGGCCCTATTCCATTTCAATAGACCTGGGCCTCTACAGTCTATTGGATCTCCAGGAGAGTCTGATACACACCCGAGTTTGAGAACTACTACCTATGCAGTGTTTCTCAAACTTAAATACGCATATGAATCACCTGGGCATTTAGTAAATCAAGGTGGAGCCAGAGATTGTACATTTTTTACAGCTTTCTGGTGATGCTGATGAGCAGCAAGGTCTGAGTGATGGTTTTCAAGCATTTTTTTTTTAAGCATTGCAATTCTTTCCTTAACAAAATCTTAGGCAAGGCCAGTATATAATACAACGTTCTTCTCCTAGGGTTCCCCAAGACACTTCTACTACCCCTCTATGGCTCAAGGAACACTGATTAAACATCCCCATAACACTGGAAGTAGGTTCTAAAGATGCAGACCTGGATCTGTGTACATTTCACTGAAGACCAGAGCTTCTGTTAATTAGTACTTTGGGAATTTTTAAAAGTAATTTTTATAATTTTGTAAGTTCCTCACAGTTTGCTTTCAATAAGCCAGATCTGTTTCCCTGTAGTCACTGGAAGCAGAAACCTCTTAAAAATTAATAGGGATTGTGTTTATTTCAGACCTGCAGGTAGCACAAGAATTGGTAAAGCATGTGTCCTGTGTCCTGTGTCCTGTGTCCTGTGTCCTACAGTGCTCAGAGAAGCAATGGACTGAGAGAGGGAGTAGAGAACAGGCAGTGGGAGAGATTCCAGACCAATCCCTGCCAAGGTAAAGAAGTGTCAGATGAGGAGCTGGCCCAGACAGGGAGGGTTTTACTAGTAGGAAGGCATCATTTCCACACACGGCGTCTGAAGTCAGCCACGTCCGACTCTGCTTGTGTGTGTGTGTGTGAGTGCATGCATGTGTATGTATGCACACACACGTGCACATGTTCTGTCTGTAGTTTGTGGTTGATAATATTCCCTGGAGATTTTCCCAAGGCCTCAAACAAAGCAGGCCTCTGGAAGGTATGGCAAGGATTCCCCATGAAACAGCACTTGCTGCTGACTGGGTCAGCACACGCAGTTCTGTGTGGTCATCTCCGCAGTTGGGCCCAAGAGTAGCCTCCATGGAGCACCCGGAAAAGCCTAGATGGGATCAGCCCTGAGTGGATCAACCAACAATTGAGGACAGAGTGAGGATTACCTTTATTCCACTTCCCTTATTCAGCACCCTTTTTTATCCACAGGGCATATCTGCCATGCAAACTGGAAGCAGGCATCCTGGCTCTCTGTGGTCTGTCAACAGATTCCCACTAAAGCCTGCCTACTACAAGTGCGGTCACACCAGCAGCATCAATATCATGGGCATCACCTGGACCTTCCTAAAAATGAAAAGTCTAGACCCTTCCCACATCTACCAAATCAGAATCTGGTTTTAACAAGGCCTGGGTGATTTTGTGCACACTAAAATTTGAGACGGCCTGCTCTAAAGCAGCAGTTCTCAGCCTTGCTACATTTTAGAATGATCTATGGAGCTTTTAAAAATCCTGATGCCCAGACTAATTAAATCAAACCTTCTTGGAATAGAGCCCAAGCATCAATTACTTTGAAGCTTCCAATGTGACTCAGTGTAAGCAGCCCTGGGAGCCACTCTCTGAAGGAAGTGAAGCAACTGCCTCTCTGAAACATGTTTATATTTTCCTGTGGAACCTGGAAGACTGATATGACTTCAGGAATTCATTTCAACTGATAGAATCTGAGGGAAGACATTCTAATAGGAGAGAAAAGTTTCTGGGAAGGGAGAGCAAGAAACTCTCACATCAGAGAAAGAAAACATTTTCCTTTCTAATTGAAGTTAGCTTTGATCCCAAATTCATTAAGTCACACTAAAGATCAACAACAAAAATTTGCTTCTATTTCATCAATGAGAAAAATGACTTACCCATTCCAAGTGTACTTCCAGAGCAGGTTACTGTAATAAATAAAAACACAAGCATTTAAGATATATATTTATGAATATACTTTAAGATGGTAAAGATATCACTTTAGAAAAAATAATGGGTAAATGAACTAAAGAATGAATAAGAACCAGCTTGGGTGATAAGAAAAGGAGATACCAACTATCAGGATGACCTTGGGCAAGAAACATCACTTTTCTGTGCCTCAGTTTATCTGCTAAGTAGTAAGAATAAGCATGTCATCTTGATAGAGTTGTTATGAGGAACCAGTGAGTTAATACATGTAAAGCGCTTAGAATAGTACCTGGCACATAGCACTCAATAAATATTAGTCATGATTATCAGTTACAATATTATCCTGATTATCAAAGGAAGGCAGCACTGATGTTGGGGGAAAAAAAAAACTTGCCTCAAATGCATGGTTTTTACCAGAGACAGAACAAAGATGGATTCTCTAACTTAATTCTAGACACCCATTCCTTGCTAAAGTGAAATGGCTGCAGAATTAAGCTAGCACCACACCAAAGGATGTATTGGAGTTCTAACTAACAAGGACTTTTGGTGGCTAACAGATTCTTAAAGGAATGACTCTCTAAGAGTTGAATTGTGGGTATGTGGCAGGGGAAAGAATAAAGACTTCCATTGCTCACTTACTGGCTGTATGATCATAGGCAAACACATAAACTCATTTATTCATTCTTTTTTTTTAAATTTAAAATATATAGGACAACAGTTGTGTGCTAAGCACTGAGAGTCCAAGAGATCACCACTTATTAGGGGAAATACAGTATATTCAACTCACAGTAATATGGTGTGGTGAAGATAAAGGTGATATGGGGTCATAAAGAAGGGAGGAAGGAGGCTCAGCCTGTGGGAATTTGGGGAGACTTCACAGAGGAGGGGAAACTTGGGCTGGTGGATTCCCTTGGTGGAGGTGAGATGGAGTGCCAAGCAAAGAGGAGACACAGCATTATCTCAGAAGCATGTATGGTATGGTATGTGTGTGTGGTAAGAGTAGGTGTGTGGATGATAACATGGCATTAAATTAAAGAATAGAATCCTCTCCAGAGCTCTCCAAATGTGGCTAGTCTCAACTGAGAAGTGTCATGAGTATTAAATGCACACCAGATTTTGAAGACTTAGTATGGAAAAAAATAATGCAAAATTTTTATATTGATTCCATGTTGAATTTATTATATTTTGGATATGTTGGCTTAACAAAAATATATTATTAAATTAATTTACCTATTTGTTTTTACTTTTTTAATGTGGCTACTAGAAAATTTAAATTTTTATATGTGATTTGCATTAAATTTCTAGTAGACAGTGCAGGTGTACAAAGACAGACTGGGAACAGATTATGAGGGACCTTGAATGCCATGCTCAGAGGTATTGGATTTTACCCTATGGAGGAAAGGAACACTTCTGAAGATTTTGAAGCATAAAAATAACACAAGCAGATCAGTGTCCTGGAATAATAACTCTGGTTATGAAGACAAGACGAACACAGTAGTCCAGGCGAGAGGTGGTGAGGGCCTAACAGTAGCTGTAGGAATGAGGAGAAGACGGTGGATTTAGAAACCGTCATGAAGTGAACAGAACAGGACTTGGAGATTACTTAGATATGAAGGATGAGGGAGAGTGAAGCTGACTCTAGGGTTTTCAGCTCATGTACCTAAAAAAGGGATAATGGGAAGAAGATCGGAAACTGCAGAAGATATAGGACTTCCTTTTGGCCCTGAGGAGTTGAAATGCCTGGGACACCTCCAGCTTGAGGTGACAAGTTCAAATATGGATTTAGAGCTTAGAAGAAGAGAAGTGCTGCAGATAGAAATTTGGGAGTCTCTGCATGTCAGTTTTTCATTTACAATTTGGAGATATAAATTTTTATATGTGATTTGCATTAAATTTCTAGTAGACAGTGCAGGTGTACAAAGACAGACTGGGAACAGATTATGAGGGACCTTGAATGCCATGCTCAGAGGTATTGGATTTTACCCTATGGAGGAAAGGAACACTTCTGAAGATTTTGAAGCATAAAAATAACACAAGCAGATCAGTGTCCTGGAATAATAACTCTGGTTATGAAGACAAGACGAACACAGTAGTCCAGGCGAGAGGTGGTGAGGGCCTAACAGTAGCTGTAGGAATGAGGAGAAGACGGTGGATTTAGAAACCGTCATGAAGTGAACAGAACAGGACTTGGAGATTACTTAGATATGAAGGATGAGGGAGAGTGAAGCTGACTCTAGGGTTTTCAGCTCATGTACCTAAAAAAGGGATAATGGGAAGAAGATCGGAAACTGCAGAAGATATAGGACTTCCTTTTGGCCCTGAGGAGTTGAAATGCCTGGGACACCTCCAGCTTGAGGTGACAAGTTCAAATATGGATTTAGAGCTTAGAAGAAGAGAAGTGCTGCAGATAGAAATTTGGGAGTCTCTGCATGTCAGTTTTTCATTTACAATTTGGAGATAATAAGATGTGTTAAGCCTACCTCATAGAGTTATTCTGAACATTTAGTGAGATATTCAATGTGAAAACACTTGATAAACTGTAAAAACATTATACAAATATGATGAAGCACTGTCATTGGGCTGTAAGTTCCTCTTCCTAAGGGTTCATCCTCACCCCAAGAACCTATTCCTGCCTCTTCCCACAGGACCATGCTTTGGGCCAGCTTGTCCTTCAGACAAGATAATGAAAAAGCAATGAAAGCATGACCATCAAGGAGAGTGTGAGCACTCCCTCAAAGAGGAACTGGCCCCGTTCTATCACCAGGAGCCATCTTAAACCTTCTTGTCACCTAACAGTACCTGGAAACTTTACATTGTGGTTATCAGTGAAGGTTTCTGAACCAATATTTATTCTTCTTATGTTCATCTGCAAAGTTCCAGAGCTTTATCATAGCTTTCCTTTTTTCAGATTTTAGAAATACATGAAAAATAAATGACTATGCGCTGGGCAAGGTAGCAGCAGGTGCTGGAATACAGAGCAGGATAGTGAGGCACATACCTACAGCAACATAGCACCCTTTCTACTAGCCCCTGGAGTGAAGAACTCCAAAGCTTACTGAGGCCAGTGACATATACCAGTGAAAGGCAGGAAGAATTTGCTTTAGAGCCATTAGTAGCAGAGAGCCCCTACTGGAAGGAGAGAGCCGCTATACCCAAAGATGCACAGTACACAGATGGCTCCAGCCATGGGCAGGCCCTGAAATGGAGGGCTGTATTCTCTAATGTGTTCCTGCCAGCTCTGGTGAGATGGCAATTGCTGACAGTCATGTTTTGTGATCACAGACTGTCTGCCCACTCATATTTCCAAACCTAGATTATGAATTATAATTCTTTTTTTCTGATCCTCCAACTCTTCCTCAGTCATAAGTCTGAATCTGTGCAAATAAAGGTTCGGTTCTCTAATTTCCAATATTCTAGGGTGCCTATCATTATCTCTGAAACTATGTTAAAAATCTACCCCCAACTCTCAGAACAGAAACTCATTTGAAATCTGCTTTATTATTTAAACAGCAAGCATCTGGTCCTTTTTCTGAAGGAGAAGAGAGGGACAGGGAAAAGAGGAGTGTCTCTAAATCAAATAATATTAAAACATCAACAATACCAAAGAAGCTTGGGGTCCCTGGTAGCCAGACTGCCTAAAGGATGTAGAAGTTTCACATCCTCTTTGACCTTTCTACTTGGCAAATACGTGGGATTGATCTGAATCTTAATTCACAGACTGAGTTGAGGGTTAGTTTTAAGTAAAGGGTCATAACTTGCTCTACCTGAGTATATTTTTTTTGGACAGAAAGTGACCGTCAGTCCTGTCTCAGCAACTGGTGAGACCATCACGGTATATACATCCCCACAGGGTATCTCAGCGACATCACAAAAACTGAGGCCAGGGCGTGGGGCACAAGTAAAAATGCCTTTGGAACCATAGAGGTCAGTGCTATAATTGGCAGAGCCCCTGGAGGCTTGCCAGTAGATCCGGATGCCATTAGGGCCCAGCCTATATAATTTCACCCCCAAAGGACAGCAGGCACCTGAAAGATAAAAACAAACACACACACAAATTACTTATTCCACCATCACACAAACATGGCCTTAATTGCTGCAGGGAAACCATATAAGTAACCTCTTCTAAAAATATATGACTAGAGCAATATTTGCAGAGGTACTCAAGCTCTTTCCATGGTGGCCACATGACTAGAAATTCACATGTGAGGGTGAGGTGGGGCATGAAGTTTAAATAGAGGACAATGGTGAGTCAGTCCACCTGAGGCAGAGATGTATGGTATATGACTCAAACTTTATTATGAGTCAAAAGCAGGAAGTTCTTGTCAAGGTACTTGATAATGCCCTAGTTTCATGATTTTAGTGGGAATGAATTTACATGTAATTAATTGCATTCAGCTTGAATTGAAAAGACCTATTTTGCTGAGCTGAGCAGCATGTCGCCTGGGGAGCAGTCACTTACACAAAGAGGCAGGTGACTAAGCTTTGCTCGTCCATGCTTCATCCATACTGGCTGACGTGGTACTATTTTTTTTCTTTTCTAAGAATCTTGAGTAGGCGGTACATTAGGTGTCAAACAGGGCACCAAATGGTGGATTCCTCAGTAACTAAAGTAATGATGTTATTGTATAATAATAAAAAATATTCAGTTACCATCAGTCTCATTTGATTTATAATTATTTTTTTTAAAAAGATGTTTTAGCCTCGAGACAAGTGCTGGGCATAGAAGCCACAGGGCAT